CTAAATTATGTCTAATATTAGCCAATGGCTAATAAATTCTCAGATTTTACTCGCCAGTGTGTGAGTTGGAGGCTAAGTATAAGTTTAGAATTAGCACAGATATATTTTCACTCGCCGAACACTCTCTGACTGAGCGCTTCAAAGTTTCACTCGTCTCCGTCTATCGATCTGTGCTATTTTTCAGTTCATCTGAAACGATGCGCAGTGTACCTGTATTTGACGTACCGTAAACTCTAGTGTGAAGGCGCACAACTCGCCGTCACTTTTGCTGAACCATACCGAGCCGTACCATGCAGTGGAAAAGCGCCATTTGTCTCACTACTCACACACACGCAGAGAGAGAGAGAGAGAGAGAGAGTTTACGCGCTACATGTAAACTATATTCTTTGTTGTATTTTGCTGTCAAAATAACAGCGTTCCTTTGGAACTCTTCAGCTTTTAAGAACTGCCGGGTTCTCCGGTAGTGGGCGGAACAAATGCTAAGTTCAGTTAAAATGATTAATATGCATGGTTATCAAATTTTAATTCTAATTACTAAAGTTCTATCATTAAATAATACTTGATGATCATATTATAATGCTTGACTGACTGATGTTAAGAGTGTACTTTCAGATATTTAAAAAACTGTGCCATTTTACAAACATTTATTATACATATATAATATATATATCAGTCTGGCGACGAGTAAACTAAAATATTTACTAGCCAATGGCGATTTAATTTCCAAGGTGTCCGTAGAGGGTTGATTTTATATGTACATTGCATGTTTTTACTTTAAAAAATGTATTTTATGTAATGCTGCCTTTTAGGAATGAGACTTTTGTGCACTCCTAAAACAAAAGACAAAAAAAAAATTTAATATGTCCTTGAGGATTATATCACTTTGGTAAATCATCAAGCTGTAGGCTATTTTCTTTGTAAGAAGACTGTTTTAATTGAATGAATTCATACAAATGAAAACTGTTATTGATATAGCAGCGAAGAGTTACTAAAAAAAGTCTCTAGGCACTAAAATCTGAGTAAGAATACCTTTCATACACATGCTCAAGCTAATCATCTGTATCATCGGCTGGTTCTGCCAAATGGCCAGAAAAAAGCCATCAAGGGAATTCCTTGAAAAGCAGCCAGGAAAAATGAACACTGTCCACACATAGGGTGGAGACGGGCCAGACCGGGTTCAGGTGCCCAGAGATGCTCAGCTACTGTTGACTCGAGTCCCTGAACTAGTGGACATTGAAGAACCAGAATAAAGAACAAGACTGAGATGTGCTTTTTTTTTACTTTTCTGAAAGATTGTTAGCATAAGGACGAGTGGAAGGAAAATCTTATTGGCCGCCGTCTGGCCTGTCACCATAATGCACTTTAACTCTCTGTGTTGGCTGACACTCCCACTTCTCCGTTGCCAAAAGCTGCCAGCCAGACCCCGACGCTGCCAGGCATCAGAATAACCCCTGTGAGTCCATCTCTCATTCACTCACCCACAAGCCCCAGCCGAGTCACATATACAGACAGACAGCGAGACAAAAGCCTGGCTACCCTCAACAGGAAGAACGACGCATCTTCAGTCCGCTCTTTTTCCAGAACTTGCCATTTGTAATTTGTCACAGCAACAGCAGCTTGCCTTGAGGTAACGATTACAAATGCTACCGACATTAAAGGCTGTTCCACCCCGCCTGAGAGGAACATGACCACCCGAATATGAAGACGATATGGGACAGACAGGAGACGTACACAATAAGAGGTTCAACACATGACCACGTTAATCCCAGTGAAGGGGGGTAGAAAGATTAAAAGGCCTTTTTGAAAAGGAGTAGATTAAACAGGAGGACAGGCAAACACTGCTGGCTCCTGGTCTCACAAGACACACTCACCACCCGCATCACGTTTTGTTATAAAACACAAAACAGACACAAAAGTGGCAGACTGGATTTCTCTCAGGTCACTGCTATGACACAGATTATCAGTCAAGCACGGTAAAAATACAAGCAGGTCACATGGAAGCCAACAGGCAAACGACAAAACAACAAGTCTCTGAAGAGTTGCTGCAATGCTGTTGTCAAAGATCCAGCTTGGAAACCATGAATGAATGAAACATGCATATCAACAACTATATATTTCAAGATAATCTTTCCTTACTTGAGAAGTGGAGGGACAAAACTGAAGTTTACAACTTGCCTTTCTAAAATCACATTAAATAAACAGATTTATAATTCAATTAAGCTATTTTGGTTTGAGATTTGCCTTCATGTATACGTATATAGCTAAATTAGTAGCCTAAAGCTGGATCAAGCAAGTTAAAAGGACAAAAACAATACAACTGAGCCGATAATGGAAGTAATAGCTGGATAAACAGCTCATTAATATTAAATAGTAATAATATAAGCAGTAAAAAGTTACATATTTTTCTCTACATAGACAGCTTTATCAAGACGGTATTAACGTTATGCTAGTTCACTTTATAAATGTTAAACATATTTTTTGTAAAAACATGTAATAAAATATATTTACAATGGCAGCCATATTTTATGTCAAAATACCACTACAATTATTGCGGTTGCATTAAAACTGGTAAACACAAATTTTACGAAGAAAGACTCCATATTAGTATAGTTTATAATAATAAAATAGTTTATAATATAATATAAATTATTCATAAAAAATCATATAAAATAGTTTATAATAATAAAGGTTTAGTAGCAGCAAATGCAATTAACCTACTGCAGACCACAGCCACAAGGCAGAAGGTGTAAAATAGCCAGCATGTTAAAGCAATGATATTCATCTACAGCATATGATCACTGCTGCTGCTGCTCATAAATCATATTGCATAAAAAAGGGCAATTAATTAGCCTTGGAAGAAGACAGATTCCCGCTTCAGGAGCCCATCAGGAACCCCCACCCTCAGAGCAGACCTGTGCAATGCCCTCAGCCTTCAGTCAGGAACACTAGTGCATGAAAATGCATGTTCCTCATTTCCTCTAATAAAAGCCGCAGACTGTAGTGACTCCCGGGCCAGAGAAGCACAGGACAAAAACACTCTCCTTTGTGTTTCTGCTGCACGCACGACTTGCCTACTGCAAAAGCTGGCTGGCGCACGCATCCAGCCCTTTAGGCTGAGCTGATGTCCCCAAATACCGATGTAGCTTTAATATGCGTGGCCAGCTCGAGTCAGATAGCTGAGAGGAGGGAGGAGGGAGGGGGTTATATGGGTCCGATCCGCTGCTTTCACGCGCCCCAAGTGTCCACATTCAGTTGGCAATGGTGGATTTCTCTAAGCGCGTGCTTACAAAAGTTGACGTCACTCCATGCAACAGCAAAAGCGTTTCTTACTCTACCTGATTCTCCATAGTTCGCCGGGCTGATGAAGGTCCTGTTTATTTACAGAAGGCTTTTGAGCGGCTGCTCCCGACTCCTCATTGTGTGTCAATTCCAGCCCAAAACCGGAAACTAGACGGTTCCCCTCCCCGCTCCGGACCTCTGGCATGCACCCAAAACAGAAAGCGCTTGTGGCCAATCGGATGCCGTATAGGATGCGCTGTACGCCGGCCAGCCAATCGCGAAGCGCAGTGGGCGGGACTTCCCACGGGCTGCCTGTACTGGTAGGTAATAATTAGAGATTAGCCGAACAGATAGGATGTTTTTGTTTTTGCAGTCTAGTAGCGCTGCTTTACATTCTGTTATTTATCCATGAATCATTTTCAGTTTTGTCTTTGAAAACAAAGCATGTTACACACAGCTGTGTTGTGATTGGTTGGTTGAGGGCATGCCTCTGTTGTCTGTGTTTAATTAGAGGGATTACAATAAATAATTCATGCTTAGCGATTTTACTTGACATTTAAAGGCACTAATTTAATATATGGGAGACTGGGGCTAGTTGTCACTTTTTACTGTAGTATACAGGGTATTTTTGGCACTAATAAAGTCTTGGCTACAAGCTAATCTATTAAAATTGCCACAGTTATTGCTAAGGAAAAATACAGTTGATTTAACACGTTGACCCAATAGGCAAAAAGTTGTCACAATGGAATTTAATAGGTTAATTTAAATTGTAACACAATTATTAAATGCTCAAAAATAAAATGTCCCGATATTAGAATTTTACTTTGGAGGACATAATTCACGAAAAAAAGTTTTAGTTAAACTTTCTTGAGAAAAAAAAGCAATCACATTATTGTCAAGAAAGGGTTTTTGGTACAGTAGTCATAGCCTAAAAAATGAACATCATGAACTTTTCCACGACATTCTAATTTATTGAGATGCACCTGTATACCAAAAGAGTCGAACCACATGTCATACTTCAAATCACAACTGTAAAGATATAGGCTGAAGAAAGTGTTGCAGTTGATAAAGCAGCTCAACTGCACGCACTACACCTAGGATATACATGTGATGGCATTGTGTCAGAAAGAACAGAAAGTATCAATAACCTGGAGATGAACCCATTTCTTTGTTTTCTATATAAAGCACACAACAAGCAGCAGCATCATAAGTTTAGGTTCTTGCTAGTTTTTGACTATTATTTTGGTGTGTCTCATGGTGGTTAAATAAATAAATAAATCACATCAAATGCATGTCCCAGCAATCATAATTTATATAAAAATAATCCACAAAACATTAGTTTCATGTCACATAAGTATTTTAAAGAGTGATGTACATTGAACGGTACACCATCATCAATATCCACAATTTCATACACTGAGGTGGAGGTTAGAAGTTAAAACACAATATATAGATTTAGAATATATAAAGTTTTTTAACGAAACATACAGTAAAATAACAAGATTTAAATATGCCACACCAAAATGAGCATAATCCCAGTTATTACATTTGTAAACAAACGTCTGCACCATTTGCTGTGAGAATATCATTTCAGAAAGTGACATCTCACGTCAAACAGGCAGCATGATTTTCTTCCTCTGAACAGACTATGAATCGAACATTGACATTTTCTTTTACAATTAGTATTAGTACAAGTCACACTTATGAATCGAGCAGTTGCTTATGAAAATTTTCTCAGTTAAAAGCCTCGGATTCATATTAAGAAAATCAAGTAAAATGCAGAATGTTTTGTACATACATTCAGTCTTGTCACAACAGTGCAAATATTCATTTTCACATAACAACAGCATGTTGTTTGTAAAGATGAGAATATGAACAGTCACTTGCATAGAAACATTCACACACTCACACACACACACACACACACACACTTCAGTTTCAGGGTCTGTGAGAAATATGAAGAAAGTTCCAGAAACGGCAACAATTCAGCACAGCATTTGTTTCATATAACTTTCTCTTCAGAGTTCACATAACGTACAGTGACAGATCTAGGATCAGCTCCTTCCTGCCCATATAAATGGATTCACCATTTTGGAAATGTAAAGGCTGGTCCTAAATCAGCGTTACACCCAGCTTTATATATGAGGTTGTGTCTGTTCATCTTGTCATGCCTGCTAGCATCTTTTCTGTGTCTTTGTGGTGCTTTTGAGAACTATGTAAGGAAGCCCAATGGACCAGTTATTCCGTGGCCAGTACTGCAGGTCGGGTAGGGAATAAGGGATCTCCAGACTAGCGTCCAGGTAAGCGACCAAAGTACTAGCATAAGCGGTGGCCACCACAATCAGAATATGCCTGAACAGAGGGGTAGAGAAAAACAGTATCTGGATAAGCATGACAGTCCAAAAGTCTGGACAATGAGGTTTAACCCTGTAAAACCTGATAAAATAATAAAAAGCCATATAAAATAAGTCACTTTTTTTATTTAACAGTTTATCGAACCTTTAAATGAAACATGCAAAAAAAAAACTATAACTTATATAGTATGATATAGAGAATATGCAGCTGACAGTAGAGAAGAAAAAACATCTCAGTTTTATTCTGATGCCCAAAAATATGGAATTTGGTGCAGTTGCTGAGATTTACATGTCCAAAAAGTATGATTAGATCTTTATAAATGTATAGCAGTCTACTTAAATGCATTTAAATGTCAGTTTTCACTCCCTATCTCCCAATAATATGTCTTATTAAGCTGATGTTTAAATGTTTAGTTTTATAATAAGCTCTGTAGTTTTTATTGTGGGGGCAAAACATAATGCAATGCAATGATGACAGAGATGACAAACATTTCTTAAAAGCCTGTTGTGGTATCATATTTGATACATTTTAACACACACATACACGTATATATATATATATATAATCAAGTAAACCTAAGTTCCTTGAGTCCTGTAAGTGTTCCCCTTGAAATATTACTAACAATATGAAACTTGTTTAATTTATAAAAATCAGTAAAGATTTCACTTCACAGTAAAAAGACACATTGACCACAACCTTAAGGTGGACACTTTTACAATCATACCAAAAAAAGTATAAACTATCAATCAGACAACAGAAGGCATATAGAAGATTGAGTACACAACAGTGATAATTTAGAGGTCTTCGAATTTTGCTTATCAAATATGATATCGTAGGCTTTAGGGTTAAAATGTGCTCAACATAGAGCGGGATATCCTGGCTCACTCACCAGATACCATGCAAATAACAGAAGTCCAGTTTCTGCCAGAAGCTGCAGCCAATGCGATCGCTAATCCAGCAGGAGATAGCCAGAACCCACAGGCCAATGGACGCCCAGGCCAGACGCAGCACTCTCTCATCTGTGCAACTGTTGAGAAATAGATCCGTTTTGAATGAGGGTGAAAACAAGAAATAAAAACAGATCTTGTATAGTAGCCTTTATAGTCTTAAAGTGGAGAAACAGTAACTAAAGCAACATCTGAAATAGCTTGAAGCAATGAATGCACACTTTACCTCCTTAATTCCACAAACAGAGAATAGAGGATGTGGATGGCGAAGCAGTTGAGAGCGTAGGCATTGGCTGTAGGTTTGACAAAAGAGGACAGAGTGCTTATGACAGTGATGATCAGGACCATATGACAGAAGGATTTCCTGAAAAAGAACAAAACACAGAAAGACAGACCAAACTTTAGACTGAAGATAGTCTGGGGTGAAACAGATCTTTCTCCATTGACAGCCAAGTCTCTTATGCTCACCAAGGCTGCATTTATTTGATCAAAAATACAGTAAAAACTGTAATATTGTGAAATATTATTGCAATTTTAAATAACTTTTTTATTTGAATATATTAAAAAGTAATTTATTCCTGTGATGCAAAGTTGAATTTTTTTGCATCATTACTCATGTATTCAGTTTCACATGATCCTTCAGAAATCTGATTTGCTGCTCAATAAACATTTCTCATTATTATCAATAATGAAAACAGTTGCTGGTTAATATTTTGGAAACAGTGATACACTTTTTCAGGATTGACAATTTATTTAAAATAAATAAATAAATCTTTCTAAATAGAATGAACTATTAATTGCTATTTAAAAAATACTGACCACCCCCAACATTTTAACAGTAGACATCAACATTTTTCTAAGTTTAAAACTTCATTTAATCTAGATATCAACCATTTAAATATTAATATAAGGCTGGTTGGAGCCCACTGAGAAAACTGTGGAAACCATCTCTCCCACAGTGAGATCAGAATATCAAGCTTCAAGTTAAACAGGGTTACTTTTACACAAACTAAGGACTGTAAACGGATCCTTTAATTGCCCCTATTTTTACAGAACTGAAGACACAGTTGTTTTAGAGGAGGAGAGAAACAGACTGCATACATGGTACAGAATTTGCTACCTGTCCTTAATAAAAGAGGGGAAGTGTCTGCGCGGGAACCACAGGGAGTAGCAAAGAGCCAAGACCCACAGGATTGACAGCTCATCCAGCATCTGGCCCATAAAACTCAGAGTCATGTGAAAATACATGGAGAAGAGACCTGAAGAGAGAAACAGACCATGGTCAAAAGGGATGCGAATACAATTAAAGTGGATATATATATATAATTGATATTATAAATAAATATAAATATTTTATATAAAAACATTACTTTTTCTTAAATATACACATGCATGTGTGTCTATTTACATATACAAAATAATTATACTCTGTACACACCCATATATTATTTAAAAACAAACTTTTATTTTATTTTTTTTATGCGATTGATCGCGATTAATCGTTTGACAGCACTAAAAAAAAAACATCTTGCCACCTTACATTTTTTAATCACTGCCATTTACGGTCTTGTTCTTTAAAGTAAAAACGAATTCAGTGTGAACCGGGGGCTGTTCCATAAACAGACACAGTTGTTTTAGAGGAGGAGAGAAACAGACTGCATACATGGTACAGAATTTGCTACCTGTCCTTAATAAAAGAGGGGAAGTGTCTGCGCGGGAACCACAGGGAGTAGCAAAGAGCCAAGACCCACAGGATTGACAGCTCATCCAGCATCTGGCCCATAAAACTCAGAGTCATGTGAAAATACATGGAGAAGAGACCTGAAGAGAGAAACAGACCATGGTCAAAAGGGATGCGAATACAATTAAAGTGGACTTTAATAAGTTAACATGTGTAAGGTCATGTAAATACCATAAAAGCTGATTTATTGAGGCAACAGCATAAGTGGTTTAAGCAAAACATGATTTTTGCATGTTTTCCCAATTTTCCTTTGCTTTGCTTTTAAACTTTTATCTACATTGTCAGCTTATTCAGTGTGTGCATGTCCGACAGCATAGCCGTTTTGACAAATACAGGAGAATTTTTTTAAATTATTACTTATAATGCAAATTTATAATACTTTTTATTTATTTTAAAATTGAAACGTTTTCTTTTCATTTCTAGTCGACTGATTTGCATGTATGCAAACCCATTTTGTGAAAGTTACTAGCCTTTTGTAGCTTGTATATACACACTTGTTGGTTCATTTGGCCAGTAACATACAAAAACTCAAGCTGACATTTCATTCATTCATTTAAATTAATTAAATATAATGAATCAGTGGATTTCAATTTGCTGGCTATAAATTTGACTTGGCTATTGAACAATACTGCCCTCTGCTGGATTGTTAATGCCACAACCCCTTACAGATTGAACAGTCACGCTTACCTACAAAGACCATCATGATCCAGACCAGGTGCACAGCCAGGTTTCTTTCCTTGGCATATGGGTGTAGCAGGTAAAGCATTATGGGTGAGATCACAAAGAATATAAAACTGCTCATCTGAAAGGGGCAAAAAACAGATATTAGTGAATCAGACAGACACACAAACTCTAATTCTATCCCATGATGCCTCTAAATGTGGTTTTTGACTTCTACACATTTTGTGGTAGTTGTAACTAGTGTAGGATCACAAATAAAACCGGTTTGGGTTGAACTGTACTGGATTCAGTCTCTGTTGAGCTCTGTTGATAGGTGTAACATTGTGCCTGAGTCACTGTAGATGTGTAATTAACATTTAACAATGTCTTGAATAGGACTCCTCTAGTGTTAATGGCTGGAATCAGAGTGATTCACAGTGACTAGAGTGTGAAAGGGATTTGCGGCTCATCGGTTATGTTCGTACCGTGTTGAAATATTCCACAACATTCTCTGAATGTTTATAGTTGTCCTCACACCAGTCAACTTCAGAGCTCTCATAGGCAAACACACCTGCCATTTTGTCAAAGGATGGAAATGACGGGATCCCTGAGAGAAAGACAGAGTTTTATAAATCACTGTAATGACACGTCAAAAATTCTGTGGCTTACATCTGTGTGTTAAAGAACAAAACACTCGCCATGGTGCTAAAGCTTGTTGTCTTTACAGGGAGGAGTGTTCTAGACTCTATCGTCACAGAATGGAGCTACTGAACAAAAGGTAGATCTGTGCCTTTCTGGAGGCTCTAGTAGATTTTAGGCATGCGAGTTTTATTAAAGGATAAGGGGACGTTCACAAAGAACGCGTTTTGTATTCCACTGCACTGTTTTCCACTGGTTTTTAATATAAACATGTGGTAAATGGACATCTTAGGAGCCGTTCACACAGAATTTTTGCATTCTTATGTTTGACCATTGGGCTCGCGTCTTTCGCAGCATTTTGTGCATGACAGCATTCTAAAAATGCTGCGCTCAAGGTAAAATACGTTTTGTTAAAATAAGCTTTTCGATGCAAACACATTCTATGTGAATGGCCCGTTAGAGATGTGAAATGCCAGAAAGTGAAATGGAGAAAAAAAAAACACAAAGTTCATCTTTTTAACTCAGCATGTTGCTGAAAAAGATGAGAATGCAATGGTCAAACACATACGTTTACATATAATGTTTATCTCATGTCACAGAAATGCAGTACAGTGGAATGCAAAAAGACGTTCTGTGTGAACGACCCCTTAAACGGTTTCATTCCATATCTCAACTTTTTGCAGCCTCTCGCACAACAAAGCGTTCTAAAAAAGCATCGCACAAGTTACAATGAGTCCAAGTCTAGGGCAGTCAAACGGTTAATCGCATCGAAAATAAAAGTTTGTGTTTACATAATAGATGCGTGTGCTGTGTTTATGTATTATCTATAGCCTATATAAATGCAATCACGTATATGTAAGCCTATATATTTTAAAAACAAACTTTTATTTTATTTTTTTTATGCGATTGATCGCGATTAATCGTTTGACAGCACTAAAAAAAAAACATCTTGCCACCTTACATTTTTTAATCACTGCCATTTACGGTCTTGTTCTTTAAAGTAAAAACGAATTCAGTGTGAACCGGGGGCTGTTCCATAAACCAAGTTTACCAAATAAGCCAGGCTTATTTCAGTTAGTCTGACTTATTTTGAACCAAATCAACTGACAATAAATCAGACTAACTGAAATAAACCTGGCATATTTGGTGAACTTGTTTTATGAAACAGGCCCCAGGTCCTATGTTGAACTGTTTCGATCGAAACTGCTTTTAACGAACGAGTGACTCGTTCATATCACACAAAATGAATATTTTTAATGAACAGATCAAAAGATTCGACTCTTATGGAGAATTCAAAATCCGTTCTATTCTAATAAACTGAGACTGACAGGTTTATCTTGCCTAAGCAGGTTTTGCATGCAAGTGTAGTCAAATTACTTCCGGTGACCCTACAACCCGCAGTTATTGTTGCCATATTAAACACCAGGTGACCTTTTCTGAGCTCACAAAGTCTTCAGTCAGCCAATATCATATACTACAGTCATTTACAATTTATCTCTTTGTTGATTTGAATTTTACTGCTTACATGTCTGCCGTTTTAAATCAATACTTATTTAAACAGGCTGTAGTTGTACCTGAACAATATCTTAAAACCAACAAGATCATACAGCCACATTTAACCACAGGATCTGTGGTTTTATAGAGCACGGATCGTTCACCCGGGAAAAGTCAATCCTCTGGATAATGAATTAATTGGTAGGGAAGCACAGCACAGACATACAGAGAAAGCAAACAAACACTACAATAACCGAAAGGCTTATGGCTAACATGCTTATCTTATATAAACTCTCTCAAATCGATAAAACCAAATGATCAGACGTTTAGATAAAAAGCAATAAACTATCGCTTACCTCTCCAAAACGCATCCACAGCGGCGCGCTCCATGTGTCTGGTTTAAGTAGGGGAGAAATGTCCCCGATCCTGTTACTCGGGTCTCGCGTTGTGACATCACTTGGAGGTGAAACCGAGCGAACAGTAGTATTCCTTATTGTGCCATTGTATAGTGAAGCTGTCAGCTCGCTATTGCGGACAGACCTGAAACGCAGCGTTTTACATGAGAAAGGCTGGCACGCGCCCGCCTCCGGGCAAGAGCTGCAGCACAAGTTTAACTAGCTGAGGTCAAGTTTACCTGCACCTCACCTGTGGACTATTTGACGCCCATTCAACTCATTAACCGCATAATATTTACAGTTTCAATATTTAATGCCTTCACCTAAATTAAACTTCGTTAAAACGAAAAAGGTGGCCCCATACAGCACCTCCCTTACAAAGGTTTACCACGGTGGTAACCGTAGTTGCTCTTTTTACTTGCCTACACTTGTTACTTTTTTATAATACAATTTATTGCAAATTTAAAGTATTGTACAATATCTTTCACTTATATAGGCAGTATTTTTTCCTTCATTTTTTCGTTTTTATTTTCTCCACACCCCATTAAGTGGCAATACATAAATTCTAAATTCTATGAGGTTGGATACCATTTAGTCAACTGACAACTGTGTGTTAATAAATATGACTAGGCTGTGGTTTTGTAAATATTAGTTAAATACATGTCAGCCAGAGGCAGTGTACCTCCCTCTGTTGGGCCTATTTTCACCCAAGGTTTCTCCCTCATTCAGTTTTTCCGTGCTACTCTCACCTTTGGCTTGTTCACTGGAGGTTTGTGAGGCTCTATTTTCTCCAGGCTGCTTTGGAACAATAGGCTATGTATTGTTAAAAGGGCTATACAAATAAATATAATTTAATTTAATTTAATCAAACAGAAACCAAGATTTGATAAACTTGATTTAAAACAAGCATACAAAGTTAATTCTCTCAACTATCATTTGATGTTAAAAAAGAAAAGAAACATGACTCGTGTAAAATCAAGCTGTTCAAGGAGATTTAATATTAATCATTTTAAAGCAGTAACAGGTATTTTGGTTACTGGTTACCATAGTAAATTTATGTTGGCCTGTACATTGTATCCCGCACAAATATCCTAAAAGAAACAAAGATCTATTTTTAACCCAGAGGAACATATAGATGCAGTTACCGCTCATTAACATTAAGATCACATGCAAATGTCCAGGCTTAAATCTGTATTTGTTTTTTTACACTCAGCAACATGCTGGTTTTTGCATAAATGTTTAGCATGGAAAATGAGGACTGACTCTCATAATGCTTCTTGTTGTAGTGTTTCTGTGCACCTTCTGTGGAGAAAACTTTCAGTCTGAACTCACCTGCTTAACCAGTCCTCCCACCCACCACACGTTTTTCTGTCATTCACCTTTTGTGCCAGGGGCTAATAACCTCAATTCTACTGCAAATCCAATCCAAATATCACATAAAATGCATGCATGTACCACAGAAATTAGACAAGGGGGAAAGATATCAAGGAAAAACGAATTTCCATTGTAAAGTTATTTAGGCTTGGCTCCACTTTCCAATTTTCTTGGCTTCAAGTTTTCACTGCTTCGAGAGGTAATAACTACATACTTCCAGGTGCAAACTTGATCAGATTCTCCATTCAACAAAGCTTGCTCAGTCTTTTCATTCATGATCCTAAATGATCACATTGTAACTGACATATTCCTTATTTTTAAGAATATAATCACATTTGTGGCTAAAACATTAGGAAATATATATATCTTTACATATTTATTTACAGGATGTCATTAAAATTTTAATATAGTACTGCATTGATATCTGTTAAACAAAGCTCTCTTTAATACTGTTAGTATCAGACATCAATTAATACTTTTTATGATTGAAGATTTTACACAGAAGAAGGATAAAAAGAAGCATAAAAAATTGATGCACAGAAAATATTTTCTTATTTTTTACATATAGTTTTCACGAAATTAGACTTTCAAACTGCACAACAGCGCAGTCAAGTGGTCATTTGTGGACAGTGCAGAGTCTTTGTAAACAGTGTATGCTCTCTCTTAGCCTGAAAACTGTACCAACAAATTTGTCTATTTAAAAAACGAATTACAAAAAATGTCATAAAATTCAGCAAAAATACTACAAAATGGTGACAAGTCACTGATCTCGTCACTGGCTTGAGTGAAAATTCCCAGAGCTTCCATGATCTAGTGGAGATTAGAGGTCAAAAGTCATGGTGCAGGTTCATCAGGTCAGATCTTCTCCACATAATTCCCAGGAAAGAGACCCTCCTTCCCATGAATCCGCCCTCGCCACCACCCTGACTGATCTACAGGAAACCCAGAGGAACATTAGAAACAATTCAACAGCCAATTCAATCAAATTCACAACATTCTTATTTCCAAGTCTCTCACCTTCATTGATAAGGTCTATGATGTCATTGACATCAAAGCTAATTTCATCCACATCTTGGCCAAAATACTGGTAAAGCGCTCTGCAGCGAGGGCCCTGTGGTCGGGGCTGAGGTTTGGGACGGCTAGAGGGGGCCGGTGGAGGCCGTTGGCTGATGCTCCTTTTCCGCTGCATTCTGGAAAGTTTTAGACTGTTTAGTATTTACAAACCTGGATTTGAGATGTTTTCCATCTGTGTTCTCTTACCTTGACATGCCCTGATCAGGCACATTGAGGAAGTCGAGGTTTGTGGACTGATTCTGGGCCAGCCTGGAGCCTCTTGGATTCTTCTGCGATCCCAGTTTAGGAAGAGCATTGCTGGGTGGAGGGTTCCTCATTGGTGTGGAGTATGTCGCTTCCCTCTGCTGCTGCGGCTGATGGTGCTGTTGAGCACCAGCCCGGGCAAACTGTGCTGCCCCGTTCTGATGGCCCCCTGTCAAAAATCATATATGGAGGCTTTCAATAAATATAAAGGGAATCAAAATGTATCCATGTGGTTCAACACAGCAGTTCCAGCTCAGAATTGTAACTCTTTTTCTACCTCTGTGCCGTGGCTGGTTTCTTCCTCCTTGACTCTGTGGCATGCCTTTCCTGGTTGGCTCTGGAGAAAAACAAAAAGTACATGCAGTGAAGCTCAACAGAATTCTGTCACTGCTGACGCTCTTCATTCATCTATCCATCTCACGTACTGGATGTCTTTGGTAGTCCATCTCCTATAGAGATAGTGAGGGTCTTTCCTCCAGGTTTGATGACGGCTAAATCAGTCTGTCCCCTCTGGAAAACCACCACACGCATGCCGCCTCCTCCCCAGCCCTCCTTCTTCACCCGGAACTCCAGCCTGCACAAAACATTAGTATTCATTTATGTTCTGCACTGGAGTGAGTCTAATGCTATGAACGAGAGATAGAGAGTTATCAGCACCTGTCGCTGAAGGACAGTGAGAGTTTGCTTCGGGTCTGCTCCTCGTAACGCTTGCAAAGCAGACTGAGGAACTCCGTTTTAAATGTGGACTCCAGAAGACTGTCATACTCATTCTCGTGAAGGATGAAGAAGTCGTCTTGCCTTGTGCTGGAGGGCAATGAAAGAAGACAAATTTTTTACTTTTCCTGAATAAAATATGGCGCTTGTCCAAGAATGCCAAGGTTTCAATATAATTTATAATTCCAGCATTCGTCCAATGTTTTTGAGGGCATTTCTAGGCTGGTCTTGGTCAGTGTTTCTCAAACATTTTTTTTTTTTGAAAGAAATTAATATTTCCATTCAAAGATTCATTAAATTGGACAAAAGAGACAGTAAAAACATTTACAATGTTTTGTGTTTCAAAAGAATGCTGTTCTTTTGAACTTTCAATTCATTTCATTCAAAAATCCTGAAAATGTATCATGGTTTCCACAAGAATATTAAGTGTTTTAATATTAAAAACTACAAAGCATACAAAGCATAATATTATATTTATTAATGTTTTCAACATTGACAAATATAAGAAATGTTTCATGAGCACCAAATCAGCATTTTGGAATTATTTTCTAAAGGATCGTGTGACAGTGAAAGACTGGAGTAATAACCACAGGATCAAATTACATTTAAAAAAATATTAAAATAGAAAACAGTTCTTTTAAATTGTAGTAATCTTTCATGTTACTGTTTTTACTGAATTTTTAATCAATATAGTATAAGATATTTTTTTCAAAAACATTTTTAAAAATCCCATATAGCCCTATCTGTAAGCCTTCTTCGATACCAAAACAGAATTGTGTTCCTGTTAACTTTTTTTTATAAATAGATACCATTCAGTATAATCATTTTTAAGTATAAAAGATATAAAGAGTTCTGGGTGTGATTATGAAGAAACCATGTCAAGGAAAACCTAGCAGCAAATGTATTTATAAATGAAATCAAACAAATGACATTTTCTCATCACTTGTGTGCACAGCTCAAACTTACACACTGAAGAAGAAGAAGAAGAATTATGAGCAATTAAGGACAGAAGAGGAGAGGAGATGAGAGAGGGCATGACTGATGAAATATCAAAGCACAGAAAATGTTATTGACTAATGTATAATTGATTTTCACATTATCTTCATACGTCTTTGATATATCATCATTAATCATCATCATGAGTAGACAATCACCATCCCTCTCCCTCTTGTTCAAAACCACTTTCATTCTCTCTCAGACTTGACATATAAGGCAGAAAACAAGAACCGAGCTGCCATAAATATGAACTCATTTCCTGTTTGCTAATTTCCTTTTTGCACTTTGCAAATAGTTTGACCCCGCAGAACTTCCGTATAAGCTCTTCTGCTGTAGCAGCAGTGGTGGTCTGGCAGCTTGTTTGTGTCACACAGTAATAAATCTGCATGTAAGCATGCATTATTGTGTACAAAGTAGACACAGTATAAATGAACAGCTTTATCACATTTGCTCAGGCCCAGAGAGCAAAATACAGAGTATAAATAACAGACAATGATTTTCACAAACAGGTGTACATCTAGCTGATTGTTGCTAAATGTGTAATGCCTTTTGGGATATGCGATTTAGATTTTTACAAGTTGAATATTTGAAGAGTTTATTTGCAAAAACAGATAACTCAGTTTAAATTTTTTTTTTTTTCAAAAATCATGTTTTTTTATTATGTTATCATGTTTTTATTGTGTTGGTTAGCTGTATTTTTAAGTTATTTTTTACCTAATCCAAATAACCCAACTGCAGTTTGATTGAGATTAACTGGAACGCACAATGAAAAAACATGAATTTTGAAATATCTGTTTTTGCAAATGAACTCTTCATTTACACATTTACAAATCATCTTCATAGCTGTCCTTTGTTAAACAAGTAATGT